AATGAGGTTCGCAATGGTGCGCCCGAAGGCATGGGTTGAAGACCCAGTCAGTGACGTCACGATATGTAAATTTGTTTAAATTCATACCGACGTAATCACCATGACCAAAATGATCCTTTTTTTTTACATTGAATCTTAAAAAAAAAAAAAATAGACCTACCTACCGACCCTTTTTTTTTTTTTTTTTGCTGTTACTCCAAACCAAAATATTTTTAAGGATGGCCCCACCGCCTTTCTTGGGTACAATGAAGTACGGGCTGTGGAAGCGTAAGGGACCGGCTCTATTGCATCCTTCGCAAGTAGGATTGCGATCTCCGTGCACACGACAGGGGCACGTTCGCTCAACACCGAAGTGTAATGAACACAGCTGAACTTGGGTGGACGCCGGCCGAACTGAATTGTATAGCCGAGTCTGATGGTGTGGAGGAGCCAGCTGGACCGGTTGGGAAGCACTTTACAGGCTTCCACGAACCGGGCCAAGCGGACCAGGGGCACCACAGACGTACCCGGGGTGGGGCAGCCAGGTGGATGACAGGGACCCGACTCGGAAGGTCCGGGGGCGGCCCGAAGAGTGGTCTGAGTGTGCGGTGCAACACTTACCTGTCTCCACAGGTCGGCAGGGGGTGCGTGAGAAGGCGTAATCGGGTCCTCAAACCGCACCTGGCTGCCGGTTGGTGATACAAGAGGGGGTTGAGGGTGGCAAGGCTTTACAGGGTCGCACACTGCCAGTCTGGCCCACTTGGGACCCAGGAACAGAGGAATTTGCTCTTTCTTTGAAAATGTGGGTGGGGGCTCCGGGGAGCCAGCGGCCGAAGAGAAACAGAAAAAAAAACAAAGATTCTCCACCCGGCCAGCCGGGGGAGGGAGTGGTGCGGTCACCATCTCCTGAAGAGCTCGTTCCTCCATCCCTGGGTGGCCCGTCTCAGGGACGCTTGTGCTTGCGCTTGCCACCTGGTCTTGTAGCGCCTAAGAATAAAGCGGCTGGCTCCACGCTGAGGCCTGGGTGAAGGCTGCTGCTGTGGCCTAGCGGGAGTGAAGGCGGTGGCAGGGGGAGGATCTGCCACCGACGGAGGCAGTAGCTGGCCGCCGGGGCAGGATGTGCCGGATCGCCTCCATCTGCTTCTGGGCGGTGGAGAACTGTTGGCCGAAGTTCTCCACCGTGTCGCCGAAGAGCCCAACCTGGGAAATGGGGGAGTCCAGGAACCGAGACTTGTCGATCTCCCTCATATCGGCCAGGTTGAGCCAGAGATGGCACTTCTGGACAACTAGAGTGGACATCGCCAGACCGACCGCGCGAGCCGCAACCTTCGTGCCCCGGAGGGCACCCATGAGCTCACGGTCTGGACTACCCTCGTGCATGTCCATGAGTGCTTTGGCCTGGTGGACCTGCAGCAACGTCATGGCGTGGGATCACCCTTCCAAGAGGTAGCGGTCGCCGGACACAGCTGCATTGCGACAGACTGCTCCACTGGAGGGATAGCCACGCAACCCTTCGCCGTTCCTCCGTCATGCACTTCAGGAAAGAATGGTAATGGGGCGGCGCGCTGAGGACCAGCACGGCCCGCCCCGAGAACCCAATCATCCAACCGAGATGGTTTGGGACACGGTGGAGGGTTCCACGCGAGTTTCAGCCCGTTTCAGCATAGCTGACATTTCTGGTTCCGGCTCGGGCAACTCTACTCTCCCAGAAGGAGCGCAGCAGAGTCGTCATCTCCAGAGTCCAGCTCCCCTTCCGATGCAGCGATCGACATCCTGTCCTCAGGAGGAGCCCCGAACGAAACGGCTGGTCGGTCCACTACAGAGGGACCAACACGTTCAGTAGGGAGCTCCACCGGCTGCGATGTGACAGAGGAGTGAGGGGCCCACAGGGACTGGTTACCGGGTGGGGAAGCCCTCACTGTGATCCTCAGATCACCCATCCCACACGGCGCGGTAGCTCTCTTCTGGGGTGGGCCAAAAGGGGCGCTAGAGTGGGGCATGAGAATGCGGGCTCCACCTTCACGGATGAAGGCGAGTCTTGATATCAACACCGAGATAGTCATGTTCCCGCAATGAGAACATGAACCATCCACAAAAGCTGCTTCAACGTGCTGAATTCCCAAACATGTAATGCATCTATTGTGACCGTCAGCTGGGGACAGGGAACGACTGCATCCAGAAACGCATGGGTGGAATTGCATCTTGAAAAAGATGCAGACACACCCGTGTTGCTCTTTCAGGAAATGGGACTCTCACCAGTGCCGGAGCACACAGGGGAATGACTGCGGCAACACTGACAGTGGATGGTGCAGCCTGTACCAGTGAAACACTCACTTCTTCGCCCTCTAACCAGCCGTCAAACAAACAAACACAAAGAGAATGCTGTTAAAACAGCAGTTGAGAGCTCAGAATCTGGCGATCACTGCTGCACTCGCGCTGTAGAACCACCAGCACCAGGAGAGCCTTCCAGAAGAAGCACTGACACACTCGCTCGTGAAGGAATCAACACTCTTCAGAGACATCGACATGAAGACCGATCGGCTCTGAAGCAAAAGACAAATGGTGCGTGCATCCGCTTCCGTATTTATACAAATGCAAATCTCGCACGCCAATGTGCATTGGCTCATTTTATCAATACTCGAAGATGACAGGCTCCCTAAGCGTGATCCAAATCAGTACGGTACCTCCGACTACATCGAACGTGACCGGAATGAAAGGGAACAATAATATTAGCAATAACATATCGATTTACTTAATAATTAAGTTAACCTAATTTCTTAATTTATCTTCGTAATGAAACCTCATTGCTTAACTGGCTACACTCTGCTGTCTCAGACGACGACATATTTCCCTTTCTGCCACCATAACTTCTGTTGGTTGCAATTCACAACCTCACCACTAGATGCCGCTAAAAATTACATAGTGCACCTTTAAGATGCGAGGCAGACACATACCCGTTTACACCTGGTGTTTTAATCCATCTCTATTGTCCACTTTCGGCCACTTCTGTCCTGATGTCTTTGAGGGGAGGGTCTATGGCACAAACAGAGAGCAGCAGCTTTTATTTATGCTCTGACAGCCGTGTAACCACTCCGAACGTAGTGAGAAATCAGGAATGGTAATAGAAACGTGTGTTTGGTACGTTTTTCATCTTCAAACCGAACTTAGGTCTTCAGATGACAAAGTTTAAATCCCGTCTGTCTAGCGCTCTTCCCATAATATTTACGCATTTGGTCAGTGCTGCCTTTTGTGGCTGCTTGAATGCATTCGACCACATAAAAGTTCCGGTCGAATGTGTTTTCGACTACCTCTCGAAGTTGTCAAAAGTGGACAAGCTCAAAACGTTTTAGACCCCGTTTACATCTGTATTTAGTGTTTCCACAAAACACATCTTAACACCAGATGTTAACAGGGCCAAAGGTTAATAAATGCTTTATAAGTATTTTTCATTGTTAATAGTTAACAAATGCTAACAAATGGAACCTTATTGAAAAGTGTTACCATAAAAGCAAACAAAACTAAAACAAATGAAAACAAAACAAACAAAACTTTAAAGCAAATAAAACTAAAAACAAACAAACAAAACACTTGTGATTACTGTGTATTATTTTTTGTTGTTGTTTTAACTAAAAACAAACAAACCAAATGAAACAAAAGCTATACAGTAGATCTAGATTTTCTTGTGCTTTGCTGGTCATGTCCCCTTTTCCAGCTCCAGAGACCTTGATTGGTTTGGACCAAGTGGATGGGATAGAAGGCAAATCCTTTCAGGTAAAGAGATGAATTGAGTTGAGTGGATGAGTGTAGTATAAGGATGAGATTGTAAAACTGGGTTGAGGTGGACTATAGGCACTGTTAACCTCATGACCCTAACTCATCTGGACTGATCCAACAGCCTGTAAACCACATCCTCTCAGTAAAGTGATAACTGCGCAGGTTACACAACATCATTAGTTCTCTTATAATGTAGCCAAGTGTCTTCTGTGTCTATATGGGATGCGTTACGTCAATAGCAAATTGAACCCACATGATCAATGATGTCACCGGAGATACCGTGAGCATCATTTTTGACATGACATTATTGCCTTGATGACATATCTAAAAGATAACTTAAAATACCAAGTCATAAGACGTAAATATAAATACACACAGTTTTAAGCCGTAAAATCTATATAAACATCTCACCTTCGGGTGACTTCAGTTTGGAACATGATAGGGAAAACGTTTAGATTTTTTAGACATTTTCTTGCCCACTACCAATACTTATCGATTTTCAGCACATTACAAAAGGAAAGGGTATTCTTTTTGTGTGTTTTTTTTTGTGGGAAAAGACTAGCAGATATGTCTCCATCAAGTGTGCTTTGTTGTGCCATGTCCTGGTGCCAAACTATTCACCATGATCAGTTACACCATCGCAGGGCTTAAGGCATGTTATTTCAAGGATTTCTTTGCAGAACACACAAAAACAAGACTAATCAAAGAGGGATTACCTGAAACATAATATAGTAATGTATTGTCTTGAACAAGTACTGCTGAAACATGCCGTTTTCTGCATATTTAGTGCAATGTTCTATCTATCTATCTATCTATCTATCTATCTATCTATCTATCTATCTAAGAAAAAAACTCTGTATTTCATTAATTTCTTAAAACAAATCATTACAATCTATAGATCAAATCACATAGCATAAATAGACACGAATGAAGAAACACTGCACTTTATACAATTTTAAAGTAAAACTGAGATAAACACGACAGTTTCTACATTCTGTCATTTTGTTTCATTCCCTCTATAGTTTTGATTGCCTTATGAACAAACCCCAAGCAGCAGTGTAGCATAAGCACTTCACTGAGCGATTCCCTTTTACTATCACTATGTTTGCTTCTCTCAGCCCTTCTTGCCATCTGCCATTCACATTAGAATATGATTTTAATACAGCAGCTGAGGAGGGCCGTGGTTCTGCCTCCCAGGTTCACTAGGAGGGTAGGGCAAAAATTCACCTGCATTGACATTCATTTTCCCTCCCTCCCTCACTCTTTCTCTCTCACTCTCTACAGATATCTGTCTCAGTTGTTTTTCTTGTCAGCAGTCAGTCAGTCAGTCACTATAAAAGCAACTCAGAGAGGAAACTCAGAGAGAGATTTCTGAGGAGATCTACAGCTGGTTTGCAGGTATCTGTGTGGACTCTGACTGTCTTAGATTTACAACCTGGGCCTGGAAGCAGCACACACAGCGGTAAGTTTTTTTTTTTTTTTTTTTTTTTTTTTTTTTTTACTTAATATGCACTCCAAAGTCATCTCTGCAAGCTATCATTTTTCTGCATCTGGTACATACCAGGATCAACATTGTGATAAAGGTTTCATTGACAGCAAAATAACATGCTAGAAGAGATAGACCTGAGCTAAGAAGTCCAAAATTAAAGGCGTACACATGTGTAAACATCTGTGGGATCTTACTTTTCATTTACACAGATACTATTGTACAACTGTATCCCTTTTGGCACCAATAAATAAGGCATCAAGAAATGTCCCTCAGGCTCCTTGTTAGGCTTGTCTCCACCTGGATGAAATCTCCGCTGAAATTCATAAGAGAAGAAGAGAGGGATACAGGAGAGAGAGAGAACGAGAAAGAGGGCAGGGCAGGTGCAGCAGGGTCGTTTCCCTCTGGGTGCTGAAGTTCGGCAAACCGCCAATTCTCTCCGGGTTATGATTATGGATGGGTCTGATATAACATTTAAAATATGTTCTCATTATGATCCCAGCTGCCAGTGACCCAAGTGTGTGTAGCTGTGCAAACACGTGTGCACATGTGTGTATTGGAAAACCTGTTGCAGCAGGTCTGTCCCCTGTGGGTGTGTGGCTCCCATAGGTTGGCTGGGGGCCAAATGGACTGAGCCTTTTACAAATTCCCAGTTAAAATCTCAGAGCTGAGCTGAGATTTATTTTACAAGGCGCAAGCTATTAGATGAATGTGATTCATTATTTAATGAGTAATGTTACAAATGTATGATCACAGATATGGTTTCCAGCTGTGATCTAGCAACCTTGTCATACATTCCTTGAGTGTTAATTGAGTTTTTTTATTATTTTTATTATCATCAAAATAATGCTGATGGTTTTGTATCTGTCTAATTTATTTGAAGTAATTTGGACAGTCATTAATTCACTGATCAGATAAAGCTATATGTGCAAATAGATAAGGACAAATTTTAGTAATATAATTAATGATAATCTTGTATTTATTGTCATATTTAATGTTCATATTTATATTTAATATAAATATTATACAAAAAACAATATTTATATTCAATGTTGTATTTATATATTATAGGGTATACAACTTAACAAGTATTTCTGTCAGGTGCAGGGTTTACTTGTATGCTTTCTAATTTCATCACATCAATCACATTTTATCAATGTTTACAATAGTATTAAACCGATTTTCAGAAACCTTCATTATAAGATTTGCAAAGGCACGTTCAAAGCTCCAAAGTTCCTGGCTCCAATGTTTTTCATCTCTAGGATTTCCATTTAAGCTGGACGGTGATCTTAAATATCTAGTGTGCATTAAAAATGACAATCCTGTCATTGTTTACTCACCCTCATGTCATTAAAAACCTTTATGATTTTCTTTCCCCTGGGGAACATAAAAGTAGATCAGTTAGTCAGAATGTTGACACTGCTTATTTCCACATAATGAAAGTGCATGGTGACCAGGGGCTGTCAAACTTCAAAATACACAATCTTTCCCTTTAAAATCTTGGAAAAAAAAAATGTTGGGGCTTATTCTTCATATTATGTGGCTTCCAAAGACTTAGAATAAGTACACTAGAACTACTTTGGATTTGGACTACTTTTATGGTCCTTTAAAAAAAAAAAAAAAATCTGACAGCTCCTGGTCACCATTTACTTTCATTGATTGGAAAACAGCAGCATCAATGTGCCTTTAGAGAGGATTCTGCCATTTGACCACATTTAAGGAAGTAAAGTACTGTTTTTTTTTTAAACGCTCAGATGTGTTTCCACTGAAGTGGAGTGAAAGTGCTATTGTAGACATACGGGAAGAAATCCTACCAATTACTTGATGGATGACGGTGTAAAGGAAGATGCACAGTCCATTTGAAATGCCACTCAAGTGTGGTGAGAGTGCACGGGTGGGGCTGTATAGACATGCAAGAGACCAGATCAAAGTGAGATAAATGTGATCATATTGAGAGAGGAAGGAGTCTTGAAATGAAGTACTTTTACATTTATACCTGTTTCAGCATTTTTATTCTTACTCACTCAAGATGATCTTTTCAGTCACACACACACACGTCTGGTCCACTATCTTTGTGGGGACTCTCCATAGACGTACTGGTTTTTATACTGTACAAACTGTATATTCTGTCCCCTTACACTAACCCTACCCCTAAACCTACCCATCACAGAAAACTTTCTGCTCTTTTACATTTTCTAAAAAACATTATTAAGTATTTTCATTAATCAATTTCCCTTGTGGGGAGCATTGGCTAGTCCTCACAATGTAGGTGATTTCACGTTTTACTATTCTTGTGGGGACATTTGGTCCTCACAATGTAATAAAAACAAGAGCACACATACACACACACACACACACACACACACACACACACACACACACTGGTTTCCATGTTTTGTGGGCACTTCTCATAGACGTAAAGATTTTTATATTTTACAAACTGTATTTTCTATCCCCTTACACTAACCCGACCCCTAAACCTACCCAACACACAACACTTTCTGCATTTACATTTTCAAAAAAATCCACTTAAAAGCTGGTTACCTAATGTGGACCAAAACATTTCCCCACAAGGATTGTGGATATTGCACACACATACTGTATACACACATGTTTTCTTTATATCTTGGGACCAGACCAAATGTTCACATTTTACTATTTGTGGGGACATTTGGTCCTCTCAGTGTAGGTTAAACAAGAACACGCATGCACACACACTTTATCTTCTTTTTTATCTTGTATTAGAGGATTATATAGCATGGCTTACTGACCTCAGTCAGCATTCTGACCTTTGCTCGATGCTAATGGAAAACGGAACATGTTCATCATGTGAATTTTCTTGAGCTTCTCAATATATCATATATAAAAAATTGTGCATTAAAACTTAAATAGCGCGCAACACGATCAACTATTATTAAATATATAATTTTTTTTTTTTTTTTTTAAACACTGCTTTAAGCAGTATTTGGTTGATCCAAAAGTAGTAGTAAAGCTCTTTATGAAGAACGACCTGGTTCCATGCAGGAATAAATGAATTTGCCCTTTTTAAATAAATCAAGTAAAATTGTAGCTCCATCCCAGTGGATGTATTAAAAGGAGCAAGATCTCATTTGGTTCCATTTTATTTAGTGATTTCACTGACTTGATTAAACTGACCCTCAAAGCAGTGACATTTTAACTTGAATCTAATCATGCAGTAACTACTTCCTATTGGCTAAACACTCCTAAATAAGACTTTAAAACCATCAGTTTTATTTTTCATAAATCACATTTTTGCTGTTTAAGATTTGTATGTATCCATTTTACACACTATATTCAGAACATACATTTATGCATTCAGAAATTGTATTTCTTTTTAGTCTTTGTTCAGAACATGCTGTTTATTTTGTAATATAATTGCTTTAAATTCATACATTTCTTTATCTTACCTGTATCTTATCTTAAGGATTCCGCTAAGAAAAAATTGTCCACTACAATGTACAAAACAATCAGTTTAGCGACAAGACGAGCACAGCAACACAACAATATCAGTTATGAGGCTGGACTGCAGATGACCAATCAAAATCAAGTATTCCAAAGAGCTGAGTAAAATTTTTGAAATACAAAATGTAGTTATATGATTGTTTACAGTAAAACAGACTTCAAAAAAACATATACTTTAAAATTATGTAGCATTAAATTCCGGTTATCATACCTCATTTGCTTGCCTAATCGTTTAAACACATAAGCACCCAATAACCTTTTTGCGTGGTATACTCAGCTGTTTTCTCTCAAGAGTGGAAATGGCCTGTATCTCGACCGTAACAGGTCAAAGGATCAGTTTAAAAGTCACAGTGATGAACCATAAAGGCCAGCTCAACTTCCTCTCCAGTACTGAATTACACTCTATGTTTCAGATGGAGCAAAACTCCCCCATCTCCATTTCATGTCACTAACACACTTCTGCTTCTCCTTCATGGTTTGTTGGTGATTTTAATGAGTTTTCGGCTCAAACAGCACTGTCTGCTGACAGTAAATGAGAGTAGCCTGAATTTCCAGGAATACCAGATACTTATGTGGCCTTATGTTTTACCTGTTTATGATCAGATAGCAGCCAGGGCAATGATATATACAGCATTTTGGACCTTTTTCACTTCAACAGGGAACATGGACCATCAATGTTATGGAAAATGCTTACTAGACGGAGTTACACAGTTACGACCCGTAAGACTGTAGGTTTGCTCAAAGGCCAAATAGCTAGAGAGATTGTTTGGAGACATGGAAAATACCTTTATGACATAATGTCTGAGGGAAAAAAAACATGAGGTTGATTTTTATTGTATATGTATGTCATGAAACATGATAGCATTATATGGCATAATTTTTTATCTTTAAAACCACAGCCCCAGACACTTTAGTGTAAATGTTTGAGGGTATATTGTGCCATGTTTTACATGCTTTTATTCTTACAGTAGCTTAAGGGATCACATTTGCATATTACATCTGTTTGATTTATCTTTCTATCTACAAATAAGGCTAAAAACCTGATGAACTGTTGTGTTGTTTTAAAGAGGCAGGTTGAAGGGACGATGTCCTCTGAGTCCCATGGCCTGTCTTTAAGCAGCAGCAGCAGCTCACCAATTCCTTCACCTTGTGAACTACAATCCTTTGACCCTCTTGGGTCGCCCTGCTTTCAGATGCCAGAGTCACAGGTATTAATAATTTAATTTATTAATTTTAAAACATTTGTTTTTAATCAATTTAGAAACACAGAACGATACATAGACAGACAGACAGACAGACAGGCAGATATATATATATAGATATACAGACAGATAGATAGATAGATAGATAGATAGATAGATAGATAGATAGATAGATAGATAGATAGATGGATAGATGAATGGATGATTGATCTATACACTGTTCTGTAGTTGCCGCTTCTTAGAAACCGCTGCCTGCCATCTGCTCTCATTACGACAGTGTCATAATTATTACTTTTTGATGAGGACATGAACCTCCGCACAAGGCACTATTCAAGGACACAAGACCCTGCGGCAGAAATAGGAGGATTTCATCCTGCCTTTTTACCAAATCCTTTTCATTAAATATTAATTAATTATGGCCCCTAGGGAAGGCTGTATGTCACATTAAATGCATTTATGGGCTCTTTAGCAGATCAAAGATCTTTACGTGCTACAGCATTTCCACTTGGAAAACTGCTTTATGTTAAAGAGTGCATTAATTAGAAATAAAACTGCAGTGTTGCTTTACATGGAATGGCCTATAGGTGTTGCATGTATTAGGCAATTTTAGGTTCTAGGAAAATTTCATATTGGTGAGCTAATATGCATGTTTTATAGTGTTTTTGCATTATTTTGTTGTTCAATCTAGTGTCACCAGAGCAATGTTGGAGAGGGGTTTCCCTACAGGCAGAAGAGTGCTATTGCCGAGCGCTTTCGTAGACACAGTATAGACGGAAGCCCCGTTGAACAAGAGTCTGGCCTGACGGAAAACTATCACTACCATCCTTACAGACGTCAATGCAGTGAAGGGGCCATCGGTGAGGTTCAAACCTTCAGTTGTCTCAGAAGACCTGGACTGGCTGGGAAACTCACCACGGCCGATGGATTGGAGGAACAATCCTCTTGGAGTCCATTAAGCACTAATGTGGAGACGACTGGCATCATGGTGAGACTGAGTGATTGTTCAAACAGAATTTTTTTAATTTCTTTTTCAGATAAAAAACAAAGAAAACATTTCCCATTTTAAAGGAATTTGCACAGTATTTAGTTATCTTGGATTTCGTTTAAAAAGGCCTTCAAGGTTATATGTATAACCTTGAAGGCTCTTTTAAATTCTTGCCACCATATTTAGGCCAGGGGCAAAAGACATGGAAAGAAGAAGACCTGCCAGGCAGATGTGCAAGCAGATGTCCTTATTACACTTTCTAAAGAAGCATTAACATATGATATGTTAGAACTAAGTAAATCATGGTCTGCTCTTGGGGCAGGGAACTCAACACCCCTACAGTGAGCCTCAGATGAGCTCTGAAGATCCTCCCGACTACACATCAGTTAATCATCAGACGTACAGTGCCATCAGTCCTCTACAACATCAGGTACTCCTGAAAGAATGTGTGATATACTGATACACTATACCGTTCAAAAGTGTGTTAATGTTTTTTTTTTTCTCATATGCTCAAGTTTGCATTTCTCATTTCAGGATTATTTGAAATAGAAATATATTGTGACATTATAAAAGTCTTTTTATCAATTTAATGCATCCTTAGTGAATAAAAAAATAAAATCTTACTGACCCCAAACTTTGAACGGTAGTGTATATGTAAGTTGATATGACTACTGTAGGTAAACTTTGGTATGTGTAAGAAGGTAGAAATGATCAAATGATAACAGGTTTTGGACGCATGTTCAGTCAAAACATTGGCAGAAAGTTCTACTACATCCTAAGACTGACAAATAACAAAGATTCACTCTTGTTGAACATGGGTGTAGTATAGTATATATAAACAAGCAAAAATAATTAGTGCTGACAAATCGATTAATCGCGATTAATCACAAATAACAAACGTTTGTGTGTATATATACAGTATATATATATATATATATATATATACTGTATATACATATATGTATACACACACACAAACATATACTGTATATGTATATATATATATATATATATTATATTTACAAACTTTTGTTACATGCAATTAATCACGATTAATCGATTTGACAACACTAAAAATAATATACGTTTTACACAATTACACTTTTTAAAATTAAAGAGTTATTTTTTGTGTGTATGTACTGTCTCTAGTTTTATTCTTCAAGAGGAATAGACACGGTTTCTCACTACTATAGCCAAAGCCTCTCATCACAAACATCTCAAGACAATTCTGCCCAGACACTCTACCCTAAACCCGTCTACTCTTACAGGTATGTATTTGCACCTACCTGTATTATCTAAGACATATATTCAAAAATAGATCATTTTCTGAAACGTCATCTGAAACCTGTTAGTTCTAAATAGTCTCAGGGCCCAACATATTATACAACAAGTACCATGTTTAAATGTTTGTCACTTGCTTGGGCTACCATAATTGGCCAATATAAATCTATAAAGTGATGAATGGAATAACACATTTATATATATTGTATTAAACGTAAATACGTCTATGAAAAATAGTGTTACTGTATTGTGTATTGGCGCCACTGAGTCACTGAGAAAACACTGATTCGTTCAGAAATTTACAACATAACTGCCATTCTATTTAAAATGTTAATGTTTTAAATGTTAAACGCAGCATCACACTTACAATCATGCCATTGATCTAAATATCAGCTGAGTGTAAATATGTGCAGCGTCATGTAAAAAATCATGAAAACCAATATCTAGCATGTAAAAATTTTGACACTTAATATATCAAATGATACTTATTAAGGGTGGTATAATGCCCTTTTCACAAGATGTAAAATAAATCTCTGATGTCCCCAGAGTGTGTATGTGAAGTTTTAGCTCAAAATACCCCACAGATATTTTTATATAACATGTTAAAGTTGTCACTTTTTGAGGGTAAGCAAAAACGCACCGTTTTTGTGTCTGTCCCTTTAAATGCAAATGAGCTGCTGCTCCCGGCACAGAGGGCAGAGCTTCTTAGCAGCTTCAATTACCTCACACAGACATGCACTGAAAATTTCAAAAACTTTTAGCCTTTTATGTTCAATCCGGAGTCAGAAAGATGGAGAGACTCAAGAAGAAGTGACAACATAGACAACATTTCTGAATGGTTAGTAACTTAGTAGATGAATTTATGTAGCTTATGTGTAGTTATCTTCTAGTCATTGATTAGCACTCTATCTTGATAATCTATAATTCGTGTTCCAATATCTCCCTTTGCTTTGAACTTTAAGCGTCGTTACTTTGCAGTTGTTGTTTATGCTCAAACAGCAACCTTACACACTAACTAAAGTTAGAAAAGGGAAATCATAATCAACCACCCCTTTAAATGACGAACAACAAATATTTATACAGATGTAGTTACAAATAAAAAAGTATAACTAAACTGCTGACAACTGCTAAACCACAATCAGTCATCTGTTATGAAAAGATTAAATTATTTACTATACCACATACTAATACAATGTATGTGAATGCAGTGCACTGTCACTTTGGCAAGTGCCAGCCAAGCGCATATGTAAAAGCATAAAAAAAACATGGTCACAACTGACAATACTTCCAAACAAATCAAAATAAACGAATCGGTTACCTAACGTAACCTCGGTTCTCTCTAGATGAGGGAACGAGTATTGCGTAAGCTAGCTTATGCTACGGGAAAGATTCATCTTTTCTGAGAAATTGAAGCCCAAAAATTATCCTATAATTTTGTATCCATTGTCAACGCAGTTCAGCTGCAGCAGACCATGAGCGGGCTAGCTAGCAGCTCATTGGTTCGCTCACAGAGAACTGCTTAAGCCTATGAGGAGACGCTTATGAACTCTCGGCCAATGAGAGTCTGACATGCTCTCATTGCGTCAGAGCCGGCCGAAACGGGCGTGGTCAGAGAGTATAAATTCGCCTCTCAGGCTGTAAACACTGGTTTTCATAGAATGAAGCGAGAACGCTAGTAGCACAAGCACGGCCAGGAACGCAATACTCGTTCCCTCATCTAGAGAGAACCGAGGTTACGTTAGGTAACCGATTCGTTCTCTTACGAGAGGTTCTCTCTTATTGCGTAAGCTAGCTTACGCTACGGGAACACCTGGTCAACGCCGTGCGTGCTAAGCATCCACTATGAGTCCCAGGGGAGACCCCGGGGAACCCTTATGAGTGGGAATAAATATATGTACCTGTGACAAAGGTCAGCAGAACGGGCCGGAGATTGTGTAGTACATAAGCACATGATAGAGAGGGACAGAGCGAAACCGGTCTGAGTGAATAATTCCCTATAGTGCAGCTCAACCAGAAGAGCTGTAACCTACTAGACTGCTAGTAGTTTAGCCTGCAAGGCGGGAACTTCCAGATTGTAAAATCTGACAAAGGTGGAGGGGGAAGCCCATCCCGCTGCCACACAAATGTCATGAATGGAAATTCCGCTGGACCATGCCCACGATGAGGCCATGCCTTTAGTGGAATGAGCCCTGATGCCCAGAGGGCATGGCAGGTCTTTTGATGCGTATGCGGCTGCAATGGCATCAACTATCCATCTGGATAGAGTCTGTTTCGAGGCGGCCAACCCCTTGGTGCGCCCACCGAACGAAACGAAAAGCTCCTCAGATCGTCTGACCGGAGCAGTGCGAGTAATGTATAATCTCAGGGCCCTGACCGGACACAGGAGATTAGAGTCAGATTCGCTATCGGAAGCAGGCAGAGCCGATAGGGAAATAACTTGTGCCCTGAACGGGGTACCAATCGCTTTTGGGACATAACCATGTCTAGGTTTGAGAACGACTAAGGAGTCATTGGGCCCAAACTCGAGACAGGAAGCGATACTGGACAGCGCGTGAAGGTCTCCCACACGTTTTACTGACGCGAGCGTGAGCAGAAAAACGGTTTTGAGCGAAAGGTATTTGAGGTCCACGGTGTTTAGCGGTTCTAATGGGGGGGCTTTCATAGCTTCGAGAACTATGGAAAGGTCCCAAATCGGCACCGAAGGGGGGCGCGGGGGGTTCATCCTTCTAGCTCCCCTGAGGAAGCGGATGACCAAGCCCTCTTTGCCCAGTGACTGGCTGCGCCGGGGTTCAACGAACGCTGCGACGGCTGCCACATACACCTTGAGAGTGGACGGGGACCTGCCCTTGTCCAACATCTCTTGGAGAAAAACTAGCAAGGAAGGGACCTCGCATGACCGTGGGTCCAAATTTCTGTCGGTGCACCATTTAGAGAACACAGACCATTTAGACGCATAGAGCCTTCTAGTAGAAGCCGCCCTAGCCTGCGTGATCGTGTTTAACACTCCCTCTGGCAAAGCGACGGGTAGTCGTTGATCAACCACGCATGTAGCGCCCAGCGCTCTGGGTGGGGATGCCAGATCGTGCCGCGAGCTTGGGAGAGGAGATCTGCTCTGACTGGAATGGGCCACAGGGCTGTCTGTGACAGCTGAGTGAGCTCCGGAAACCAAGTCTGACCCTCCCAACGCGGGGCTATGAGGAGCACCGAGTGGCGTGTTTCCCTGATTCTCTGAAGCACCTGTGGTAGCAGAGAAACCGGAGGGAATGCATAAAGCGGGCGGCTGGGCCAGGTCTGGGCTAGCGCGTCCTTGCTCTTTGAGAAAAATATTGGGCAGTGGGTGTTCTCTTCTGAGGCGAAGAGGTCCACCTCTGCTCTGCCGAATATTCGCCACAGCTTTTGGACTGTAAGAGTGTGCAGGGACCATTCCCCGGGGGGAATGGGGTTCCTGGACAGACTGTCTGGACCGTCGTTCAGATGACCCGGCACATGCGTCGCTCTGAGCGAGAGCAGGTGACACTGAGACCAAGCTAAGATGCGTTCTGTCAGCTGGAAGAGATTCCTGGATCTGACTCCGCCCTGACGGTTTAGATTGGAGACCACGGCTATATTGTCCAAACGGATCAGCACGTGGTGACCGTGAATGCGCGGAAGAAAGCGCGTAAGCGCGTTCTCGACCGCCAGCATCTCAAAAACAGTTTATGTGGAGGAGACTCTCCTGAGCTGACCAGGGGCCGAAGGCCGGTGAGCCCTCGCAGACCGCACCCCAACCCGTGTTGGATGCGTCTGTCGAGATGACTTTTCGGCGAGAAAAGGTCCCCATGGAAACGCCCTGCTGAAACCATTCTGCCACGGTCCATGGCTGCAGAGCTGTGATACAGGTCTGCGTTACCTTTATCAGCTGGCGGCCCGTGGTCCACGCGCGGTGAGACACACGTCTCTTCAACCAGAGCTGAAGCGGGTGCATGCGCAGTAACCCCAGCTGGAGCACCGCGGAGGCTGAGGCCATGTAACCCAACGCCTTCTGAAAAGTTTTCAGAGGTGTGAGTCTGTTCATCTGAAAAGATGCGGCGAGACGCTGAACACGGCGCGCGCGCTGTGTTGACAGACGAGCCGTCATTGTGACCGAGTCTAGCTCTATACCCAAGAAGGAGATAGTCTGACTGGGTTGTAGTGCGCTCTTTGTCCAGTTGACAGAGAGGCCCAAAGCTTTCAGATGGTCGAGGAGAACTGTACGATGAGACAGTAGCTCTCTCTGTGATTGTGCCAAAATCAGCCAGTCGTCCAAATAGTTCAGTATTCGCAGCCCCTGACTCCGCAGGGGGGCGAGCGCGGCATCCATGCACTTCGTGAACGTGCGGGGTGCTAGGGATAAGCCGAACGGGAGGACGGTGTATTGATAAACCTGGCCTTCGAAGGCGAAACGTAAGAATGGCCTGTGAAGGGGATTTATCTGAATCTGAAAGTAAGCATCTTTCAGATCTAGTAAAATGAACCAGTCCCCCTGGCGCACGTGCGCGAGGAGTTTTCTGATAGTGAGCATTTTGAACGGTCTCTTCATGAGAACTTTGTTCAGAAATCTGAGGTCTAAGATTGGTCTGAGGCCGCCGTCTTTCTTTGGAACCAGAAAATAACGGCCGTAAAACCCCGACTCGCTCATAGATAGAGGAACTCCCTCTATAGCCCTGTTGCACAATAGTTTTGCTATCTCTGAACGGAGCAGAGTCACTGCTTCTGGGTTCACAATAGTTTCTAGCCGCGCTCGGAAACGTGGAGGGCGGCGGTGAAACTGTAAGCGATAGCCTAGCCTTATTGTGTTTAGCACCCACTGGGAAATTCCCGGAATAGCTTCCCACGCTTTGAAGCGTAACGCTAAGGGGAGAATGGCTACATGGTCCCCGTTGCTGCACATAGCGGGCTGCGCGGGCGCGCTCATAGTGTTTATGACAGCGGGACTTACACTCAGAGAGGAGTTTAAGGGCCGTGTAACAGAGTGAGCAGAGGTGGGACGCGCACACGGGCTCGTGGGCGCGCTTATGCACTCTGAAACTCGAGCGGGTTGGAACCGCTTTATGAGAGTTGGCTCTGTGAGACACACGGGAACTGAAATGCTTTTGTGTATGAGTGAACACAGTGTTGTGGGCACATTTTCTACACATGAGGCTTTTATGCTCTTTTTTAGATTTCTCTGGGTCGCCGTGAAAACGGCGTTTGTGCTCATGCAAGCGGGAAAAGGGACCGGCTTGGTAATGGCGGGGGAACACTGCTGTAGTAGCCGCGTGAGCGGGGACTAACAGAGGGCGAAACTTTGACGGCGGTCCGGCCGCGGCGGGAGAGCGCCGTCTTTTCCTCAGCTGTGCTAGGCAGACTTCGAGTGATCAGGTTTCAGCGTGATCCTGGGCCGAGGCCCCCGGGGAGGCGGCGGTCTCTGGCGGCTGTCAGAGCGAGAACGAGGGCGGCCACCCTGGCGTCGCTGAGAAGTCTGACTGTGCTGAGCTGGGCGCTGGGGCGGGGCTCGTGCAGGAGGCTGGTCACGTGAGCGGCCTGCAGAGGAGCTAGCGCGACGAGGCAGAAAAAGATTCATGGCCTGGGAGGCTTTCTGCACTTCGGAGAAACGGTCAACGATACCCGTGACAGCAGATCCGAAGAGGCCGGATGGAGAGAGCGGGGCGTTGAGAAAGGCGGCGCGCTCAGAATCTCCCATGTCGGCGAGTGTGAGCCACAAATGTCTTTCAGACACACAAATGGCGGCCATGCATTTCCCCAGGGCTTGAGCAGCAGATTTTGTAGCGCGAAGGGCAATGTCCGTGGCGCTCCTCAAATCCGCGACTAAGGGGGGATTTTTTCCGCTCTCGTCCCATTCACGAAGTAAATCGCCCTGTAGAATCTGAAGGACGGACATGGAGTGGAGTGCAGAGGCTGCTTGGCCGGCGGCTGAGTAAGCGCGGGCGTGAAAGCTCGAAGTCGCTTTGCAGGCTTTAGAGGGAAGCACAGGTGATGAGCGCCATCTCGTGGAAGGCGGGCATAAATGTGCGGCGACCAGGTCCTCTACAGGGGGAATGGAGAGTTAGCCCTTTTCTGTGGCTCCGTCCACAACGCGAAGCGGGGCGGAAGAGTCAGAGCGAGTTCTGGTAGAGAGCGGGGCATTCCAGGACTTCGTGAGTTCCGCGTGCAGTTCAGGCAGGAAGGGCGCGGCCCGTTTAGTGACGGGAGTCGAGCGCTGGCGGAAGTAGCTGCCGTTCATACGGTTGATGGTCTGCTCGGGGGGAGGGGACCAATCGAGCCCGAGGCGTTCGACGGCCTGTGAGAGGAGGCGCACTAATTCCTCCTCGATTCCAGCGCGGGTCCCAGAGGATTCTCGGGCCGAGGAGGCGTGAGAACCGGACCACTCCTCACTGTCTGAAGCGAGAAGCGAACAGGTTTCCTTGATTTCCGCGGCATCATCGGAGGCGACAGAGCGGCACTCGGTGGCAACTGTACGTCCGGAAGCGGTGGAGAAGGAGAGCGGGAGGCGACAGGCTCCGGCGGGATGAACGCTTCCAGCTGGGGTTCCGGCGGCCTCTGAGAGCGGCGTTTCTTCTTCCGCGGCGAAGTCAGAGGCGGCGCGGAAGCAACTTTAGTGGCCTGAAGTCGAGCCCGCAGGGTCGACAACGGCATCTCCTCGCAGAGAACGCAGCCGCCATCGGCGAGGGCGAGCTCGGCGTGCTCCAATCCGAGGCAGAGAGCGCAGATGACGTGGCGGTCTCCAGTCTCGAGGGGAGCGCGGCAAGAACCGCAGGAAGATTTACGAGACATCTTTACAAAGACGCTCGGCTCTTTTAGATACAATACAATACAGGAAGCTTTTTCGTAAAAAGGATACAAATCCGTCGGATGGCGCTAGCTCGCAGGACGGCTGAAGGTGGCGAAGACGGCCGGCTTCCTCAGTCTCCCAGATGCTCGCTAGAGTTGCCTTTTCGACGACGGCGGCTTCTCTCAGGATCAGCAGATGCGTGTAGCCTCGCTGAAGAGATGAAAATCAGTGCAGCCTGAGAGGCGAATTTATACTCTCTGACCACGCCCGTTTCGGCGGGCTCTGACGCAATGAGAGCATGTCAGACTCTCATTGGCCGAGAGTTCATTCGCGTCTCCTCATAGGCTTAAGCAGTTCTCTGTGAGCGAACCAATGAGCTGCTAGCTAGCCCGCTCATGGTCTGCTGCAGCTGAACTGCGTTGACAATGGATACAAAATTATAGGATAATTTTTTGGCTTCAATTTCTCAGAAAAGATGAATCTTTCCTGTAGCGTAAGCTAGCTTACAATACGAGAGAACCTCTCGTAAGAGAACCAATGCATCACAATAGTCTTGTTTGATTGGTGATTTTTCATTGTTAAATATACTTCTTTGCAGTATTCTCATCTTCCTGGCTCTGAGGAATAGCAAAACGGGCAGTCTACCAGTAAGTGAGATCTACAGCTTCATGACGGATCATTTCCCCTACTTCAAGGTAAACTGCTCTACCACTTCTCAGAACAATTACTACATCTAATATACATTGTTCTACAGTGAACAGTTACAGAGGAGGCCTGTTCATGAGGAATGTAACAAATACAGAATGTAAACAGATTTGTTCCTCATTCTTCCTGGAAAATACCTGTTATGGCATGATCATATGCCTGATCAGTTAATTCACCCTCCTCTTGGCGCTGTGCTGGTAAAGGGATTTACAATGTGACATTATTTTGGCTCATCAATAGGTAAACATGCAGATTTGTACCGATCCAGTGTTGACTTCACTGAGGGAAGTGTTGTAAGAAAGATATTTCTTTCTTTATTTAGAGAACTGACTGGTACAATCTCTGTTTTAGATTAATTGTTTTTCGGTGCACACCCTAGAATACCCTTAGCCACTGCCTCGCAACAGTTTAGAGACCACTTCACAACCTTAGGTTTTATTTGTGATTCCTCAGACAGCACCTGATGGCTGGAAGAATTCTGTCCGACACAACCTCTCTTTAAACAAGTGCTTTGAGAAAGTAGAGAACAAGAATGGGAACTCCTCTCGAAAGGGCTGCCTGTGGGCCCTGAACCCAGCGAAGGTAGAGAAGATGCAGGAGGAACTTCACAAGTGGAGACGTAAAGATCCGCTGACTGTACGGAGGAGCATGGCCCGACCAGGTGCGCAGAGGGTTCAACCCTCTATTTGTTTGCATAATCCTAACCCCACCCCTTAATCCTAACTATACCCCCATACCTAATCCTAAACCTACCCATACTGGCGATTATACTGAAGGTAATAATCCGGCGGGGGTCAGAATTTGGCACAACTCCGGTCTACGCAAACTACGCAAGGGCCCCCAAAGCACCACGGATTATTTAAGTAGCGTATGTAAACATATTTTTTATAACATGCAAATATAAATGTGCATTCAAATTTAGCGGAGTCGTGTGGAAATGTATTTTTCTGAATACTTAATGATTTATTTAATAACTGTTTTGGACTCGGACATCATGCAGTGCGGCAGAAGTGTAGGACCGGCACTGAAGGTCCCATTTGTTGGTCTGGAAGTTAAAAGTGCAAAAAATGACCCAGATTACTCAAATTCACATATGCGATATGATTATTGTGAATGTATTTTATGCTTATGATCACCTGCAGTGTTCAAAACTCAAAAATTATAAAACAAATGATTGAACATTGTATTTATAAACATTTCTGTTTTAAGAGAGAATAACGAAAGGTATTTTATTTGAGCCATTATATATTTATATAAAAAATTGCATGTATTTATTTATTTAATGTTTCAATAAAATTCTATCCTGTTTGGGGTACGGTTTTTTGTTTTTGAAAGAAGTAAGTCTCTTATGCTCACCAAAGCTGCATTTGTTTGATCAAAAATAGAATAAAAACAGTAATATTGTGAAATATTATTTCAATTTAAAATAACGGCTTTGTACGTGAATATATTTTAAAATCTAATTTATTCCTGTGTCGGCAAAATGAATTTTCAGCAACATTACTCCAGTCTTCAGTGTCACATGATCCTTCACAAATTATCCCAATACGGTTATTTTGTGCTCAAGAAACATTTATTTTTATTATTATCAAACAGTTGTCCTGCTTGATATTTTTGTGATATTTTTTTTCAGAATTCTTTAAAATAAAGTGCATTAAATGTACTGTACTTTCGATCAATGTAATGCATCCTTGCTGAATAAAAGTATTATTTATTTATTAAAAATCTTACTGACCCCAAATTATATTTCTTATATATATTACACTATATTACTTTCTTTTATATTGTATAATATATATTTATAATATATAAATTAAAATGTGTGTGTATATATATATATTTATAGTTCCCATTATGCTCATTTTTTTAGAGGAGCTGGAACGTCTGCTTGGGGAGAGACCTGAAAAATTGAAGACTCTTGGAGCTCACTTCAGTCTACCAAGCAGCCAAACACATTCTCAGTCCTTAAGAGTTGCCATGCATCCTGCCTACGGACACCAACCTGTCCATGATACTAGTGTCCTGCATCAGAAGTCTCTCTACAGCCCTTTACCCTCTCAAACTGTCGTCCCGCCTCCCCCCTACTTACCTCCAGACACTTTAGCTTTCCCATACTACTCTCCAGTCACCCATCAGCCCAGTGCTGGGCACCCCTCCAGTCCCAGGACAGGCAGCTTGGATTCCCCCTTACCAGCACACACCCCACCAAGCTACAGCACTGCCCTGCAGGCTGGTCACAGCACTACAGCGAGCATGCAGGAGCTTCTGCTGGATGGAGAAATCAGCAATGATGTTGATACATTAAATCCCAGCCTCACAGATCTACAATTACATGGTAAGATTGAGTTTGAAAAAATTAGTCATGTTTTCGGCAGTTGAGAAATTTTAGCTGCGTTCACGCTGTCAGTGCAGTGATTATTTGTGTATCTCATTGGAATCTGATCTAGATTATTGTATCGCAACTGTTTAGATCAGATTTGTGTGTCCTGTGCCCCCCCCCCCCCCCCCCTTCTAATGAGATTGGTATTCCTATGCCAAAAAAACCCAACAGAAACACAGAGGGGTGGAGCTTTTTTCGACTCTGATAATATGCTATAGAATAAAATTGCCATACTGTATATTGAACTGACATTACACTTATATTTCATCAATTTAAAATATACTGTAGTTGTACTATAAATGTTTTACCGCTGTATCTTAAATGTTTACTGTATCCATTGAGGATGATCTTATAGGGGTCCAAGCTCTGATATTACTGTTGTCCACTAGAGGGAGACACAGGATAAGGAATCTTTTAAGCCCAATACTTTTCTATCTGTTTCCATCCATTTGAATGGAAATACCTGCATTTAGTTCATTTGTGTAACTATAGTGTAGGTGACAGTAAATCTGTGAAATGCTTAAAAAAAAAAAAAAATCTTTAACTTTTTAGACCCCAACGAAACACATTTTTCAAGTTGCCAGACACAATTACATGTATAAAATTGTCTCTTAATTTTAAATGGACATCATTATGTCGTTTTTACTATAATATAAACTTTCTATAAAGACATGTATTGTTGTGGTATGAATAATAAAACAAACATTTGTGCATTAAACTGCAAGCATAAGGTCAGGAGTCAACACATAAATATATGATAAAAATGAAAAGGTCAACCTGCTTCAGATAAATAAGGTTTTGAGCTGGAAATTATCTTCACGTTCATTTGAAATTGTCCTGTGACATCCTATGACGTGATTCAAGACAAAAAGCTAAAGGCACAACAGAAAAAAAACTAAAATGACGGTTTTGAAGACAGAAAAAGCAATTTCCACAATTAACATGTACATTAAATTATATTACATTAGGGACATCTCCACAATTATAAAAAAAGATAAAAAATTCCAAATCTATGATTGACAAGCATGAGTTTTCCACTCAGTTTTTCCACTAAGGCTCCAGGCAGGTGAGTTTTTTTCATGGTTGGAGCTAAACCAAAGACTATAGATATAGAACGGCACTCCAGGACCAACGTTGCCCATCCCTGATTTAGTGCATCATCCGGGTATTTAAAGTGCACTTTTTCTTTTTGGAATTTTCATTGTGAATACACTACTCGCACTATTTATACTTAAAAACGTCAGAATAGTGCATACGTGCGCAAATTGGGATGCACCCCTGTCTATTGATGTTCATGTTCTCTGTCTTTGTTTAAAGGGAATCTTTGGGAGGAGCTAAGGAATGACAGCCTCGCTCTGGATTCACTGGTAGTTATGGACTCAACCCCTTTCCTACCCCAGCTCAGTCCCAGTCAAGTACGGGATAGGGTGGGGGTCTGTGAGGGTCTAGCGGAGACTGAAGGTGGGATGCAAGGCAGCGTTTCTGGGATGTATCTCAGCGGGCTCTGCACAACCGCTTTCACCAGTACAGACAACATGTCAGGTCTCCTTTCTTCTTCAGGAAACACTCCCATTCCTCTTCTATGAGAAAGTAACCTCTGTGTACTAGCATCCCATCGAGCCATCTCTACTTTTTCCAAAGTCGAAAAGGTTATATTTTTGAATGTCTAAAATGTGTGACTTCTATGCTGAATGGTGCGCTTGAGTTTTAAAAATGACATTAGCTTTAATGTTTTTAATGCATAAATTCCAATACCTATATCCAAGGCTTCCATTGTCCACAACAATATTCAAAGACCCCATGATTGTTTGAGTCATTTTCTGGATGAGGATTAAGGATACATTTTGAAAAGAAATATTTTGTACACACAATTTCTACCTGATAAAATATACTATAGTCATAACTAGTGAATATGAATATAAAAATGTATATTTATAAAATGTATAAAACTGCCCATGCATTTTTTTATTAATTCACATGACCACAAAGTTCTGTAAGCATTTAATGCTCAAAATCACTTTAATGTGGCCTAAATTTTTGTTTTGTTGAAGTTTGCTGAAATTCAACAATATATGAATATTGTTTGCTTTTGTACAAGTGTTTTTTTCTTCTTCAAATCTATAAAAGTGTTTCAGTTGGTAAGATTTTAATCAAATTGTTGTTTGCATCTGCGCTGGGAACCACTGGGGGGTGTAGTTGCCTCTTTTTTATACTGTCTTTCCACAGTAATACACATTAAAGGCACTGTAGTAAGTTAAAACAGATCTCATGAATTGCAGGATTTTTACTGTCTCTGCAAGTTATTTTTTGTTTGACAAAATTCTTCAAATGGTTCATAATTTTTGATTAAGCAAAAATTAGAGCCTTCTACTCAAGTCCATCAGGTGGTCTGATCTATTATCTACCAGAACTGAACCTCACAACATACAAGGCAGTTGAGTTATAATTCATTATATACAACAGATTTATGCATTTTGCTGTTATTAGAAAATATAGTAAATGTCTATTACAGTAAATAATTATTATAGCCCTTGGTTGTATCTTATATTATACTATTTGCCATTCAAAAGTTTGGGGTCAGTAAGTTTTTTTTTAAAAAGAAATCAATATTTTTTTATTTAACAAGGACACATTAAATTGACCAAAAGTTACAGTAAAAACAGTTACAACAACTTCTATTAAGAAAACAAACAAACAACAACAACAAAAAATTAAATGTTTTTTGGAACTTCCAATTCATCAAAGAATCTGGAAAAAAAGTATCAAAAGTATGAAAGAACCATCATTAACAGTGTTGGGGTAACGCATTACAAGTAACGTGAGTTATGTAATCAGATTACTTTTTTCAAGTAACTAGTAAAGTAATGCATTACTTTTAAATTTACAATAAAGTATCTTTCCAATAAAGTTACTTTTTCAAATAAGTAATACAAGTTACTTTGTTTTCCCAATTATTGACTGACCGTTCTGTCCCCATGTTGAGAGAAATCGGGAGTAAGAGGCAGAGGCGTTGCACGCTGTGATAACATGCTTATTGTAGTTCTAGACTAAATCTCACTTACACAAAAAGAGATTCAGTGTTCCTAAAAATGAATACAAACAATGCAAACTCAGAATATTACGCAAACCAGCAATAATGAATTATGTTAAATTACACAAATACACTATGTATTTAATCTCACTTTATTAACCAATGCCTTTGCCGCTGACTTTCGATGATCCAGTTCAACCATACGAATAAGCAAAAAATGACTTTAGATAAACATCACATTTGTGTTTCATTTTTGAGTTTTTATTGCTGAAGTAAGAGTGTTGAACATCTCCTGTACTATTTTTCTGCGATCGAGAATGGCAGCACAGCTGAAAGGTGTGTTTGAGCTGTGCTCTCTGCTGTACAGGTGTGAAAGGGCCTTTACATCTGCCAAAATAAACCTTGTTTTGCTATTAAAAAACAAGCAAATGCTAAAGTAACGTAACATTACTTTCCATAAAAGTAACTCAATTACTTTTTAGGGAGTAACATAATATTGTAATGCATTACTTTTAAATGTAACTTTCCACAACACTGCTCATTAATAATAAGAAATCTTTCCTGAGCATCAATCAGCATATTAGAATGATTTCCGAAGGATCATGTGACACTGAAAATTGTAATGCTGAAAATTTAGCTTTGCCATCACAGGAATAAATTACTATATAAAATATATTAAAATAGAAAAGAGTTATTTTAAACGTTTTTATTTTTTTTAAAACAATAACTGTTTTTTCTGTATTTTTGATCAAATAAATGCAGCCTTGAGATCTTCAATAACACTGATTCCAAAATTTTGATCAGCAGTGTACGATTTAAGCATTGTTTTATCTATTACAACACTATGCAGGAGTCATATGAATGAAAGCAATAAATTGAATCAAATATGATTTCAAGCACTGGAATTTTTATTTTTCTGTTTATTTTTTTTTGTTAAATTCCATGAAACAATTACACATAATGGTATAACTATACTATATTATATAACTATTTCTGACAAAAGATGCTATTAAAAATATGTTTGACAATGTATATCAATATAAATAAGAGCATATTAATATAAATAACACAGATTTACATCATCATTGACCAAATTATAAGTATTCAAAAAGGAAAATGAGAAAAGTTAAGGAAAATCAGGGCCTTTCAGCGAATCTAAAAGGCAGTGGGGTGTAATGTCAGGGCAAAATACACATTTCCTTGCACAGTTCCTGAAAATATTCCTTCCTTTAAAGGTTCAAACACACTGCACCTCTCTCTACATGAGCCTCTTTTTATGCATTAGAAGCCTTGAGTGATGTCACTCACTGTATGAACATTTAGTCACAAATCATTTGGCTTTGGGCTTTGAAAAATACATAAAAAACAGAGCATGCAATTAATGCACATGTGCACAGGCACACTCATGTACTCAATGAGAGACACAATTATCACACACTTTAAAAGATTCGAAGGAGAAAAAAAGTAGTACAGGCCCATTCTTAGAGTAACATTCTCTCTCTGTCTCACACACGCACAAATATGCACACACACAATCCTGAGATTTTTTTAAACCAATGCACCATCACATACAAGATTAGATGCCACTTTCAGTAGATGTTCCTATGCCAGTCCACTGCAACTGGATGCAGATTTCTACGGTCCACCGTTATAGGAATAATCTGCCTTATTGTGCATTACTAGCTTGTTGTCCACAAAGTAAAAGCTGTCGGATTGTGTCTCATATGGGTGAAGGATCATTTCACGCACTGTAGAGGGATGCAAGAAACACAATGTCACTTGTATTATGTCCTGCCACAAGATCAGAAATCAATCAATAGTTATTAAGTCACACTCTGAATTCATAAAACAGTTCATGACTTACTTATGTCTTCAGAGAGAGGTGGGAATTCGTAGATGTGTTCGCAGGTATTCTTACTGCTCGGGATGCAGAAGCCAAACTCAAAGTCAAAGCTCTTCAGCAGCTGCCCACGGAAATAGTGCCGCTCAATCATACGAAAGTTGTTGATTGGAACATCGCCTACAGTGAACTCAACCCTGTGGAGGCAGGAAAGGACACATTTAAGATTATGTAGTATGTAGCAATGAAATTCCTACCATGTTCTGGATGGAGATAAAACGCAGAGCGTGCACAAGAAAAAGATTCAATGGGGTTCTACGTACAGTAGAACCTTAGGGTTCTTGGCTCAATTTTAAAGAACACTTTATGCCAAAAGGGTTCTATATAAGATGAAATATCTTAAATGATTGCATAATACTTTCATGTTTAAAAGGTTATTTCCTTTTTTTTCAGAATGCTTTCAAGCTGTTTTATTCATCAAATTTAAATCAAAAGAAAAAATTATTTCAATCAAAATGAATTAAAGATTATATATATTTTTTACATTTAGCACTGCCCTTTATAAGCTACATGATTTACATGTTCCCCTGAAGACCAAATAAGTACAATTTACTTTGATCATCCAATTCAAGAAGTTTACACCCAATGGTCTTTAATGAATATTCTGTAAGGGGTATGAAAACTTATGAGCAGAACTGTCAAGTATATATCTGGCATATCTTCCTTTGCCTTATCTTTAGTTCTTCTGGTGCTTAGGACTAGTGGTATAGTCTTGGTTACTGTTGTAACCCTCGTTCCCTGCTGGAGGGCACAGAGACGTTATGTCGACTGACATTAGGGGTCCTACTTGGGAAAACAGCTAATGAAATTAGCGAGTGGAATTTGCATGCATATCCAGGCAGCTATGCACTAATCCACTCATTAGGTCTGTGCCGAGGAGCCAAGACAGTGTCCCGGCCATTCAGCGGTTAGTTCAAGGTTGTGGCAGGAGGGACATACTGTCTCCGTTCCCTCTATCAGGGAACGAGGGTTACATTACGACAGTAACCGAGACGTTCCCTTTCTGTCAGTCACGCTCTACGTTATGTCGACTGACATTAGGGGTCCCTATGGAAAGTGCCACAACGATCGAACTGCGTTACGAGTGTTGGCAAAGCAGATGCTGGCAAGCTGTAGCGTGCCACCAAATGTCCTTGCCCGATCTTAACCTTCCCAACGCCCCATGTAAGCCGAATAGTCCTTCATGCCTCTTGGGATGGAATGGACTGAGCTTACCACGGAGACGGTTAAATTACTGCTGTTTCTCTATGTTCTTAATGGAAAAGAGTGCTTCGGCTCATTTTCCATTTTCTTTTTACAGCCACGACCAGTGGTTAATGCTGGGGATTAACCAAGTCCAGGTGGAGAGAGATGCTGCGGAGGCCACATCCTACCCAAAGGGAAGTGGAAATACCCATGTGGTCTTCCCACACTTTACCTGTTTGTACTACCCAACACGCGGGAAGAAACCCACGCCACCCGGAGATTATAGAATCTCGTGAAGGTATTAGGCAGTGTTTGTGCCTGAACGCGTTCATTGAACAATAGTTCATGAACTCGTTCATGTTTTGGGCGAACGTGAACTGAACGTACTGTATTACTGCCTGATGAACGTTACTGTGAACTCGTTCATTCTGGTGTCTGTGAATGCTGTCTCTCAGTTTAACTTCGTTCAATAGGGTGCCAGATTTCTATAGAGCCTTCCAGGCGAAAACCCGGCTAAAACACACCGTAAACAGGCCTTAATATGTAGCGAAAAAAACACCCAATCTGGCAACACCAGCCACCAGTGTCACACCGCCGCATGCGTCATCAAAACAAAAAGTTGTAGTCGACAAAGCATTGAGGAGGCGTCGTATGATCATTTAAACGGGTTTTATGATACGATCTTACATTTCTGTGCAAACTTTGCCCGCCGATAAAATAATTGCTGTCTGTGGTTGTATATGGGCTGTGGCAATAATAAAAAAAAATCGCTTGCAGCAACATAATATGGAAAAAAAGAACTATGAACTAGTTCATTTTTGGAACTGTGTGAACTTAGTTCAAAATTGTGAAGTATGAACTGAACTAGTTCATTTTAAAATTTGTGAACTGAACTTTGAACTAGTTCATGTTAGAAAGTGAACTTTCCCAACACTGGTATTAGGTGTCGCCCAGCCCGCAGCCCTGCAGATGTCTGCTAGAGAGTGAGACCGTAAACTATCCAGCAAGAGACATCTTCTCTTTTCAATGCTCTTTTATCGGTGATTAAAAAAGTGATCGCTGTCTGCATCTTATATAACAGTATATATGGGGGAGTGGCTAAGCAAATTCCACTTGCCAATTTCATTGCCCATTTTTCTAAAACTCAGAGGTACAAAGGGAACTATCCTACTTTCTCCCCTGTGACTTGGCGGGTCATTTGTTCAATTATTCATCTGTCTAACATGGACTTTTTTCACTTGGAAGTTTTAAGTTGTTGAAACGGCATGTTTTCATAGTACAATTAACCAATTTATCTCAAACTTTTATTCATTGTGATATGACTCCTTTAAAGATTAAGTCAAATAGACTCAAGTGTGATTTCAGGCTAATTTTAGCTTGCAATTTAAGATCAAGTGTAATCCTGTCACTGATTGCACTATGCACTTACGTGGCGCCAACCTGGCGTAGTCGGAGGAAGGTGGGGGTGAACTGGTAACGCACAAAGCGTCCGGCGTTCTGGTCAAAGTCTGTTCTGTCCTCCCCACTCTCTGTGAATCAGAAAGGGGTCGGCATTATCAAATGAGCCTTTGAAGGGCTCTTGAGCAGCGAGCTGCATCTAAATGGAAATCAGGGCTTTACGGCGAAAAAAAAAAGAAATCAAGACAAGCCTTGCATTTAAATGTGTAGCCTGTGTAGGTGGAGTGAGGAAGTGATTTTGAGAGGTCTTGTCCTTGTCTTACCTGTTGTAGGGGGTTTGGTGATCTCAAAAAGAACTGTGCCAGTCTCCATGTCTCGGATTTTGAACCTGGTGAAGTCAATCTTGTGTATGTTCTGCTCTGGACCGCAGAGGTAATCTATGGAAACAAAACAAAACCGCAGCGGTTCAAGATGTGCCTCAGTTATGACTTTCATAACATCAACATTTGTAAGATAATGAAATATGAATGGAACATTAACATGGATGTGATTCTCTCCAGACTTGTCACAACATTTCAAAATATAAAGCTAACTACATTTTAACACTGGGTATGTGTGCGTGACATAGGTCACATGCATCAAGTGAGCTATCAAAGATATGCCTCAGGGCTGAGTAACGCTGAGAGCCGTAACCTTGTGTGATAGACTGCAGGGACAAAAAGAGCTATTTCTGTTCTCTCTGATGTTGTATGGAAATGACATTGATGATGACCATACACCTACTCGATTCATTACCTGCCTGCAGAGACTGATACTGTTTAGAAATACTGTCAGAACAATGGGAAGTATACCATCAGACAAACATTATTAAACACATTGTGCTTTCATTTTCAACATTTTCTATTGCTTTTTAACTTGAGATTGCCATAACAGTGTGTTTGCTCATTTTGTGTAAAATGAGTGACAGCTGGTTGGATATTTTGTTATGTTTTATAATATTATTTTCCATGTAATATTATAATAATTTGCTTTAGTATGTGTGTGTATATATATACATTATATAATAATAATATTTTTATATATATCTCTGTGTGTGAATCTATGTATTTAACTCTAACAGGCACCATCCCCTTTGGTGTCCTTGGGCCCCAAAATCTAATGCAATGGCATTTGTAATTTGTAAGTGTGACTTAAAGGTGCACTGTGTAATTCTTTGCACGAAGAACAACATAGTTCCGAAACGCGTTTGTCCGTTTAGGGCTACTGTAGAAACATGTCGGCGCATTTCAATGCAAGGGGACCCGCAGTGTATGTAGATAGAAATGGCTCATTCTAAGGTAATTCAAACATAACGGTTAAAGGTCTACACCACTGAAAACATAGTTATGTATATGATATTGCATTTCTGTCAACAGATCCTCCTAAATATTATACAATGCACCTTTAACTGTCCAAATATTTTTTGGTGTTCACTATATATGGGGATTTATTTGTGTCCTGGAGTTGGTAAAAATTTTGGGCCAGCTACTCTTATCATGCCCTTTAATGTTTGTCTCCTTTTCCTCATACCAAACTCCCAAAGGAGGCATATGAGGTGCGAGGAGCAGCTGTGTCAGCCCTCTTCTACCTGGGATGGATTATACCTAAGAAGCTTACATTGTTCCCCATCACATGGAGCAGATTGGTAGATACTAAGGGGATTTAGGACAACTCTAAATTTTGAGAGGTCCATCTCTGCTAGGATGACATTGAGATGAGTGTATTACTACTTCCTTCCTGTGAGACACTGAACCGTAACGTATCCCATAAAATTCACATTTAAACATTGATCAGCGAACATAAACAGAAGCTCAACCGAACCTGTTTGATGCGCGAGAATGAACCTCATTGGTTCTTGAGGAAGCTCAAACATGCTGCGTAACACACAAGAATGAACCTCATTGGTTCTCGCACGTCAAGCGAACCTGCTTGTGCTTCCGTTTTCCACAGCTGATGTGTGAGTTGATAAATGTTTATATGTGAATAAAAGCCTAAATTCAATCTGTTCATCATATAAAGTGATCATGTCTCTTCAGAAAATTTGGACTAAACCACTCAATTCATATGGATTAGTTTTACGATCTCTTTATGAATGGAGAAACAGAAATCTTTCAGATTTAATCGAAAAGATCTTTAGTGTTCCGAAGATTTATGTTTTTAAACATATCCTGCTGATAAATAACTTCTCTGAGCATGAGAGCCAATTCAGAGTAGAACACTGAAACTTGAATAGACAAGAAACGGATACCTTGCATATTTTCCTGCGTTTTAATGCACTTGCCAATACCACAAAACAGGCTCGAAACAAATCAACACTTTTATAGCTCTCGGTGAACTTGTTCATGGAAATGTTTTTTTGTTTCGCTCTGTTTACTTCACCTCATGAATTGCCACACAGTGGGACCAATCTACGTGAGGTAACACTACGGTGTGTGAGTGTGAGTGCAAAAATACAAATAGTCAGGAAAATTGAGAGGTGAAGGGAGAATACAAATGAACAGAGACAGTACATAGTGTATTTTTAGAAGTGTAAATCTCAGTAATTTAAACTTTATTTAGGCATGATCAGTGTAATCAATTATTATATTATTTATTGAGAATGTAACATTTTAATAGTATAATATAATATAATATAATATGCTGTTATCTAGTTTTCATAACCCCAATGTCTTGGTGGAGGCATCATAAGTGCAATCAATTATTTTTAGCCTTTTATATTTAAAAGTTATAAAGCACCTGGTGTGCATCTGCTTTACTATTTGTGAACTGTAAAAAAAAAGTGAAAATGTGCAATTAAGGAGTTCTCTCTCTCTGATCCTTAAAAATGGCCTTTTCTTGTGAAACCTAATGTACCCAGGTTGATCATTCATATTAAGCAATATTTGTGTGATTATCTGACAAAATGTCAAATGTGCAATTCTTTAAAAAATCTTATCAGAGCTGTGTGGCAGGCAAGTGTCAATGTAGCTTTCCAAACCACCATGGTGCCGCACTTCACTGCTTCTAATGCTGTCACCTAGCAACATATCTTTTGATACCAATCCAGAATAACTACCACCTGTTATTGTAAGGTAAACAAAAGGAACTGCTCTGTATAACAAACACAGATTATGAACGAAACAGCATCCATTTACAAGACCACACAGGTTCATTTAGATTTATGAGGCATAATGTGCGTATCTAAACACCATAATTCATTCTTTATGAAGAAATGCTTCCAAACACTAAGTAAAGCGCCAAATTGAGCAGTTAATCAAAAGATTATAGGAGGATGTCATGTAACCATTTGCTAAAAGCCAATCCACTTCAATGAAATTGAAACACTTATTAACATAACTTATATATTTATACTATTTATCACTTCATCCATTAACATACTCTGTGTTCTTGTTTATAACAGTAACATGGGATAAAGAGGACAAAAATGCAATTAGTAAATAATAGTGAATCCAAAGCAAGCATGCTGTCCACTTTCCTCAGAATAGCAGCCTGTATCCTTAAACAAGAGCAGCTTCTATTTTTAGAGCACTAATCCAAGTGATTAGCCAATAGCCAGACACCAGATTTTCTTCCATTTAGAAGAAGAGTGGCATCTGAAAGTGATATCTCAGCACTTCTCTCAGGCATTTCTTCTGTGCACTTGTAAATATATTTATTCAAAGAGGTTTTAATTCACAGCTCAGAGGACAAGAATACATTGTTGATTTTTCAACCACAAATCACTCGCATTTCAGAGCTAATGACTCACAACAAGAAATGGTGGCAAAGACGAGACAGTGTAGCTATTATGTCCAAGTGAAATATTATTTATGGACCGTGAGAAGTGTAACAGTAATGCAAATGTCTATTAGTCAGTTTTGGCAGAGCCAGCTCCGTAAAACTGTTCATCAAACTGCGCATTTGCATTCATCCACAGATCTGATCTCTGATCAAGTATATTTGTTTTAGAGCCAGATATAATGTCTTCCATGCAGGATCAACAAGCAAGACATTATCAAAAATGTGTCAAAACACCAGCTCACAAGAGTCATCCAGTCATACTAAAATTTAGCATCTGAGTTCCTTTGCATGAGGTGATGAATGCTTATTGGTCAAAGATCATAATATACAAACCCAACAATGCTCCATTTTAAACAAATCAAACTGTTTTTGAATAAGTAAAAGCACTTCAACCAAATCAGCATTTTAATTCCTTTTTAACCATGGGTTCAGACAGAGGATTATTAGTCATATCAAATGTTAACACTATTCAGTATGATTGATCCTCAACAAATATCTTCAATCATCATCAGATTGATCTGATTATGTTTACTCATCATGTGATGCATGCATGGTTCTTCCTCATTTCATTGAAATTTGTATCATTAACCACCTGTCAGTGTTATTTGATTATTGAAATCATTTTATAGATTTTTATTAATATTTCAAATTAGTTTATTTTTTTATTTTTATGTTTTCCTTTTATTTTTGGTCAAACTTTTAATTTTGTTAATTGGTTTTATAAAAAATGTATCTATATAATTGGCATTTTAGTTTTGGTAATTTTAGTACATGGAGTTAAACTAAATAAACATGAGAAATGTTGATTTGGCAACTAGCTGAAATAAAGTAAGTTTTGTTTATATTTTATTTCAGTTAACATTTATTGTATTTCAAGTAATGTTTTTTTTATGGTTTTAGTTAACTATAATAACCCTGCCACGTGTTTAAGAATGTGTTATGTACACAAAACATGCTCTTTCTTGTATGCTGCTTCAGAAAGAAATGAATCCGGCAACATTATTAGAAGAAATTATCTTGTGCATTTATCTGTGTGTGGCACAAAGTTACACACATAAGCCTATACAGTAATTAAAGTATAAATGCTGAAGCCTGTTTTAAGTAAACCTCCTCTTGCTGTATGATTAAAGAGGTTCAGCAAGTATAATAATAACTTGCTTAATCTTACATGGAAATGTAAACATTCATTAGCAGTGAGTGAATAATGTATTCAAATCATCCTCGTATCCTAAAATATTGCATTCAGATTCTAGAAATATCATTCCTATATATTTAATGACTTTTCACAGACTTTTTAGAGGTGACAAATGCAAACATTTAAAACTGGCCTTAAGTTAACTATAGCCATAGCCTACATGATTACATATTTCGTTTATTACGTTAAAATGAAGCTTAACGTTACTCAGTGTCAGTATTTAAATTATTATTATTATTTTTTTTATATATAGCCTAGCCTATTTCTTGATGCTCAGTACGTTCATCAGTATCACTGGGTTCGTTCGACCAAAAAAAAAGAGGACCGTACGAAGACGTAGCCTACTCGCTAAATGAAAACGTTACATCGACGTCACATTTTAAAAGATGACGCTCTATTCTAAAAGAAGTTTCGTACTAGAATGCGCAAGACTGAACAAAAAAAAAAAAAAGAACCGCATGACTAAACGTGCCATTTCGCACTGGTAAAATATGTGCAACAGTGTGAGCTAGCAGAGCAGCTCGTCAGCCGTGCGATTGTTGTCGGAAGCTTCCTGTTTCAGAGTGGCATTGATATTACTGAACTTACTGTCTGTGATCTTCTGCAGTCCGAGTACATCATCCGGCGTTATTTCTGTGTTTTTTAACAAATCCTCTTCGGTCGTATTTAGGACACCCGCGTCGCAGCCTTGCTTCACTTTCATGTCTAAATGCGATAAGATGCTGCTGTTGTTGTCCGTGCACGAGTTGCGGTCTTCGCACCAACCTTTCTGGCAAGGGCCGTTGGTTTGCCTCACCTCTGCTGTATTATGCGTCCTGGTTATTTAACGCAGGCTCTTTACTGATACAAGAATAGCGCATTCACCTCCCCCTGCCAGTCTGTCTTCTAAGGATGTTGTGTTGCCGTATTTTAGCTACTCCTTTTCTAAGGCGAGGGACTCTCGCTCTGTAATCTGCATGTTTGTCTGCAGCTGAAGGTATTAGAGCAACCACTCCATGTAATCGAGCAAACCCCGAGAGAGATGAGCAGTATTAACTAAGTGCGGAAGGAAGTGGTCAGACGGTTTACTCACTCAAGCCGCTTCTTTTTAAAACTAAATGTCTGTCTCATTTTGATCAGACTTGTTATGCACTGTATGGACAACACTTGCATTTATTCCTCTTTCTTGGAGGAAAACCGGAAAATGATTAAGCTTTTTAGCAATAATATATATATATATATATATATATATATATATATATATATATATATATATATATATATATATATATATATATATACACACACATACATACACACAATATATATATATATATATATATATATACACACACACATAATAAATTAGGAAAAATGATACACATATTAGGAAGTGAATAGTTGCTATCTGAACCATGACAAAAACCATGCAAAAATTTGGTACCAGTAGAATATAGAATAACTATTCACTTCCAAATATGTGTACCGTTTTTCCTAATTTATTATGCATGGTGAATTACATAAATAATTAAAAATATTGAATTAAGGACATTGTACAATTATTGTGCTTTAAAATCTTTTATTTTTGTTTATTGGTTTTCTAGGAAATGTGTTTTTAGATGCCAGCATCCCTTATAAAGTGATAAAGATTCTATTTTGTAAATAAAGAGGGTCTGAAATCTGTTCCTGGAGAGAGAAGAGGCATATTCTGTTCTCTCCTCCCATCTGCCACGTTGAGGACTCCGTCCGTCACAATACCAGCTGAACATCTAGATTCTAGAAGATGTGGTGTGAAAGCAGGAGAAGGTTGTTGAGTGCTGATTATTATCAATGTTGAAAACAGTTCGTGTCTGTGTGGAAACTGTGATAAAATTTTAAGGCCCGGCTGCAGGATGAAATGACTGAGGGCCGGGGGCACGTGAAATTCTTAAAGGGATAGTTCACTTTGAAATTAATTTTTGGTATGTTTTAGCTTACATCAAGGGAATCCAAGATGTAGTTGTCTTTGTTTCCGCAGTAGTTTTAATTTGATATTTTTAGGTCAAACCGTTCTCGTCTGTCAGTCATATAATGCAGGTCTATGGTCACTTCCTCAAAGAGCATGCACAGAGAAGTCCAAATTAAACATGATTTAATGACTCGTAAATGTAAGTACACATTGATAGCCTAAGACACGAAACGAGCAGTTTGTGTGAGAAAACGAACAGTATTTATATAGTTTTTACCCCTTGTAAACACAGCCACGTCCAAGTGATCTGAGGGCGCGGGCGCTTCGGTCTTTTCCGGCAAGCGCTGGAAGTGATCTCTCGCGCGTGTACGTTTAAAACCTTTATAAATAATCTTGATCTTGATCTATAACGTGAGATGGGCGCCACCATGTTTCTTTGCGCCGCAGTTCAGATAGTCCTGCCAGTCATCAGTTTCTCCCGAAATACATGTAGGCCTATGAAAGTGGCGTGTGAACTGTGAGAAAAATAGAGTAAACTTGATACTTCCACTTTGTTTGTCTGATCTGAACAAATTAGGCAAATTATATTTAAATAGATTGTTATCGCTGCTTCCACAGACATCAGTGTGTATTTTACAAACTCCAAATGTATTGTTTTGCTAGTGCTCATGTGTATTTAAATGTCTGAAACCTAAAATAAACATTATGAGGTTGAAAACACTGCATAGTTGTGATATATGACAGCGCTGAGCTCGTCCGTCTCTGGCTCAGAGTTTGAATCTGGCAGTTATGTCACGTCACTGAACATTCTAAATCCCTTATGTGGGACCGGACTCTCAGGGGCACAGAAATAAAAATCCCATATATGGGACCGTACCGCTCAAAAGGTTAAAAATTTAATTTGTAACCATGAATACAAAAATGAAACTGAAGGGGCACAAATCAGATCTGAGGGGGCAATGCCCCCGGCGCCGGGCCTAGCTGAATTGCACCTCCCTCTGGTTCAATGAATATTCCTGCCAGGGTTTAGCAGCTAAATGAGAAATTGATTCAAATTAGCTTTACTGTGGATGTTCATATGGTAGTAGACATTCTTATATAAAGTAATAAAGGCAAAGAGATAGAGAGTTTAGGTAGAGCAAAGAAACATATAATGATGCAAAACTATCAAACAAAACTGATGAATGATTAGACAAGCACTAAAATTGGGATCTACTTGATCTATTTTCTTTACTTTTTTAATGGGGTTAGACGTAGAATGCATTTGCCATACCTAATAGTGGTTCTACAACTCGTAACACATGATTGTTCATTCCTAGGTAATGTCTATTCCAAGCTGCTCTTTATAAAGGATTTTTTTTTTTTTTTTTTTTACATTCCACAGTTTTCCGTGCGGGGCCTTGTTGTATCCACCTGTCCATGCCACGTGTCATTCCTTATGCCATCTCGAAGCAGCCTCTGTGATGCGTCTGCATGTCTCTCACTCTACGCACAGACTGGATCTGGGGGTGATTGGCACCCCATTCGTTCCAGTGTTTATAGGATCTATATTCAAACAGGTACTGATATCCACGGTAGCCAGGGTACTGGTATCCAACCCACCTACAGTAGGAACGAGCATAGCATATGGTAACTCATGAGATAACATCAAATGCCTAGATAATCTTCATCTTTTGTAATAGTAAATATAAGAAATGTTAAATCACTTACGTTCCACCATTTACTTGAATGCTGGCGACTCTGTCCTGGAAGCCATAACACCACAAACTTGGGATGTCCTCATCAGACACCTCCATCTTACGACCCTCAAAGTTCATGCACTCATACAGACAGATCTTATGGTCCTGGGGGTCCTACATGGAGAAAGAAACAGTTGAGACGGATGGTCCTCCTATTATTAATTGGTTATGTTTTGTGATAAAATGGGAAATGGACTGATATAATGTTCTCCCACCATCTTGACGGGCCGGACAGACATGAGGCGATCACATCGATAGCTGTTAGACCAAGTGTCCCATCGAGGGTATTCGCCCCTCTCCAGCATGAACATCTCACCAGTCATATCCTGTTGCTCAAAACCTACCCATCTGCAAGACAGTAGAGGGCAAACACACTGTAAATGGTCTTTTTACATGTACATTATGGAATAGATATTTTAAATTTTTTCCCTTTTATGCTATTGACAAGAGTTAACAGATAAGAAACATTTGAAAAGGATTACGGAAATAAATTGTAGATAATTTAAATAATTTGGAATATTCGCAAATAGGATAAAAGATTAAAGAAAGTTTTTGAAAGAAGTCTCTTATGGCTGCTTTTATTTGATAAAAAATACAGTAAAAATAGTAATATTGTGAAATATTATTTAAATTTTAAAATAACTATTTTTCAGCCTTAAGTGTCACGTGAGCCTCAGAAATCATTCAAATATGCTGATTTGGAGCTCTAGAAACATTTCCTATTCTTAATGTTGAAAAAAATCTGTGCTGCTTAACATTTTTGTGGAAACTTGAAAGTGACTTGTAATGCATACTTGCTCAATTAAAGTACTAGTTTCTTTAAAGGGGGGGTTGATTATGATTTCACTTTTCTAACTTTAGTTAGTGTGTAATGTTGCTGTTTGAGCATAAACAACATCTGCAAAGTTACGACGCTTAAAGTTCAAAGCAAAGGGAGATATTTTCTTATAAAGAAATTGCTTTTTAAGGAAACGGGACTACACAACATTCCTCCGGGGTTAGTGACATCACCAACTCTAAAATGTACATAAACCCCGCCCCCGGAACACGATTTATAGATTATCAAGCCAGAATATGCTAATCAATGACTAGAAGATAACTACACATAAGCTACATAAATTCATCTAACCATTTAGAAATGTTTTCTACATGTTGTCACTTCTTCTTGAGTCTCTCCATCTTTCTGACTCCGGTTTGAACATAAAAGGCTAAAAGTTTTAGAAATTTTCAGTGCATGTCTGTGTGAGGTAGCTAAAAAGCTCCGCCCTCTGTGCCGGGAGCAGCACCTCATTTGCATTTAAAGGGACAGACACAAAAACGGTGCGTTTTTGCTTACCCTCAAAAAGTGACAACTTTAACATGTTATATAAAAATATCTGTGGGGTATTTTGAGCTAAAACTTCACATACACACTCTGGGGACATCAGAGATTTATTTTACATCTTGTGAAAAGGGCATTATACCACCCCTTTAAAAAAAATTACTGACCCATATGCGACAAATCATATTATGCATATGATTTGTGAGATGAGTACTTACGGCCCACACTCCACTCTGATGGAGCCCACACGGTTAAGCCCCTTGTCACAAACGTTACGGCACTCTCCACTCAGCTCCATTATGCTCCCTTGGAAATTCTCGTACTCAAACAGATATATCTGATCAGAGAGATCACACAGTAAAGGCAAATAATTCAGCGAGTGCTTCTTGTACAAAACACTTGTAATGGCAATATTAGAGGAAAAAGTGAGAATCTGATAAGAGCATGATGGGACAGGTTTGACATACTCTGTGGGAGCTCATTTCCTTGGCATAGCGACTCCCCATACTTCCTTGTAGAGCAGTGTGTGACATGGCTGAAGCTGCAAACGACAGAACAGAGAGAAGTTGAGCTTAAATGAAAGACTGAATCAAGATTAATTCCGGAATGTTACACTCAATTCTTCTTTGCTATTTATCAGAACACATTTGTAGAGAAATCATTAGCAACTTCATCAGTCAAGTGACATATTTAAATGGTCTTTTTTATAAAGCAACAAGCTCGGCAGATATCTATCTATCTATCTATCTATCTATCTATCTATCTATCTATCTATCTATCTATCTATCTATCTATCTATCTATCTATCTATCTATCTATCTATCTATCTATCTATCTATCTATCTATCTATCTATCTATCTATCTATCTATCTATCTATCTATCTATCTATCTATCTATCTATCTCAATCATAACAAACTTATTTAAAGGGTGGTCACTCTGAAATTATTGAAATGACCAATCAGATCTCACCTAAACTTTTGCAGTCAGAGGAATGGAATGTAAAAGGAGCGCTGGTGGAGGAAAAGATGCCGAGACCTGAATGTACAAGGTAATGTACAAGGGTTCTATATACATATATATATATATATGCCTGCAGTACTTCTAAAGCAAAATGAGACCAGGCTATTGGATAAAAGTGATGGCCGTTTGGAGGGGTTTGGAGTGGAGGCTTATCTATGTGACCCTGCTGACTCTGCTCATTGCTTTGTTCCAGGCTAGGGCTGGATGTCTGATGTCTACCTCCATCAGCAAAAAGCGTGGCACTCCACAGCCCCTATCTCTTCAACACTCTTTCACACACTCTCTATAGCATGGCTAGCAATGTGCTGACCTCAGTAGACTGGCCACAGACCTCTCCATTGAGAGAAAGAGGACTTGTTGCCGTTGTGTGAAGCTTCAGCAGTTTTCTGTGTGGTTACGGTTATATATTTATGTTGTCAAGGATTTTGGAGCTTATAAGTTTGAAGTAAAAGTTCCCACAAGTGTGCATTTAGGTACTCTACATTTAAATAGCGATGCATTTAATTATTCTCACAATCATACACATATGGCCATCGACAAATCAAAAATACTTCTCTTTGTAGAGCTATAGTGAAACTCACCCAAAAATCTGCAAAATTATGAATCAATCTTCTTATTTACTTGAATGCCATAATTCACACACTTCATTTGACTTAGTCATGCACCTCCTCGACTGGGCCCCAGCCATGCAGCCTGCTTTGCATAAAGTCAAAGGAGTGGGCAGGACATGGATGTTGAATGGATGTGCTTGTATACGGGCCTGTTGCGTGTGTATGCATATGTGAGGGAGAGCGTCTGTATGTGGGCGAGTATGTAAAGGCAGGTGGAAGAGGGTTGTTGAAACATTCTGTAGCTGCCACCGCACTGAGAGGAGAGCTGAAGGGTCTCAATTCAGCTTAAAAATGGACTTTTAATGATAGTTAATTGTTAAAAACCATAGTTTTTTGTTTGTACCCAGCATTTTTGGCTTGAAAGAAACCTTGAATCTATACCTCAGTGAATCTTTGTGTTGTCTTTGCTGGAATGATCTCAAGTCGAAACAGCTTGCTTGTGTTTCTGCAAGCATGTGTGGTTTGCAGTATACTCCGGTCATATGTAAAAGCATGCATGGAATCACTTGCTTGGCATCCACTCCGGTGGCAGATGCCAGTAGGCATGATGCCTCCCTGGCTACGGCAGATGGCATTGTGAGCTGGGTAAAGCCAAAGGCTCAGTCCAAAACAATGAGGCCTGAGGCAAAGTGCTGACTCCTGCCTGCCCTGTGGCCAATCTTCCCTTTCTGTCATGCTACATATAAATAGAGCCCTTAGTCGGAGGTCTGGAGACCGTTGTGTGGAACTCCTGAGTGCTTGCAGCTATTTGTTGGGTAGGTCAGGTAAGCCCTTCATGTTTGTCCTTTCAGCCTCTGCGGTCATCTTTTAGTGTGCTTTTCTGATCTGCAGAACTTTATGGGAAGGGCGCACATATGGACAATTGAAAACCCAAAGCAAACATAGCAAGCATATGTGGGTGTCTTTGTCAAAATATACATGAGTTTTGTTTTTGTCAATATGGGCTTTTCAGAAAATGTATATATATATATATATAAAATTAGTGACTAAAAATGTAAAATAGGCACTATAAGCTTTGCATAATGTACAACCTTCTAGACAATCTGATATTTTAGCAGTTGCTGATGTAATCTATGCCGTTTTTAAATTTGTATATACCTCAATGTTTTGGCTATTAATCAGTATATTTCAGTAAGCTGTGGTTTTATCCTGTTATGTTTGGATGATACCTTCTAAAACAGCAGCAAGGTCTAACTTGTTGGCTGCCATATCTTTCTTATTATTATTATTTATTTATTTTTATCCCTAGGCTACTTGTAGAGTTAACATAAATTATATAGAACCCATGCATGTTTTCTTTCTTTTCTTTTTTTTTTAACTATCTTGTTCAGGTCTATCAGCATTGAGATATCTTCAAGGATGGCTCTGACTAATCCCATGCCAATGGGGCCATGGAAGGCAAGTAAACACTTAATGTCTATGAAATAATGTTGGTCACAGTACAAAAGGATATGGAATAATCTGAATCAATCACATCTCTTTTGTCTCTGTGAATATGTGTAGCTCACAGTCTATGACCAAGAGAACTTCCAAGGCAAGCGCGTGGAGTTCACCTCAGCCTGTCAAAACATAATGGAATGTGGCATGGACACTGTCCGCTCTCTGAAAGTGGAGTGTGGCGCGTAAGTCATGTATTCACAGACACATACTATCTAAATGAGACCACAACAGACTTCATTTGTTGTTGTATCATGCTAATTAATTAGAAGTACTACAGTTTAACCCCTAAGAGAAAAGTATTTGCACTTTAAAAACTATATATTTTAAATAATATTAATAATATTGTGTAAATGTTTAATGTGTATTTGAATAATATGTAATATTATTTGTGTGTAAAATATAAAGTAATATTAATATAATCTGTAATTTTTACACTACCATTCAAAAGTTGTTAGTGTAGTGTTCAAAAAATGTTGGGTTTTCATGTTTTATGGGGATTTTCTATAGACATAATGATTTTTGTACTGTACAAACTGTATATTCTATACCCTTACACTAACCTTACCCCTAAACCTACCCATCACAGAAAACTTTCTGCATATTAACATTTTCAAAAAACATTTATAAAACTGTTTATAAACTGTTTTCCTCATGGGACCCCCAAAAATATGTCCCCATTAGGACAAGGATTTTGGATATTGCATCTTCGTGGGGACATTTTGTCCCCATAACGTAGGGTTTACCAGTACCACACACACATGCACACACACTACACGTATTATTTATGTAGCATGTGTATATTTGAACAGCTGGGTGGGCTACGAACACTCCAGCTTCTGTGGGCAGCAGTTCATCTTGGAGAGAGGCGACTACCCTCGCTGGGAGTCTTGGAGCGGCAGCAATGCCTACCACATCGAGAGACTAATGTCCTTCCGGCCAATCTGCTCTGCTGTGAGTCTGAAACCATATCAATAATCAGTGGTGAAATGGTTTAACCATCTCTCCAAATAAAACACAATCTCTTCCGCTGTTATGATCTACGCAGAACCACAAGGAGTCAAAAATTACCGTCTTTGAGCGGGAGAACTTTATCGGACACCAGTGGGAGATAACTGACGACTACCCCTCTCTCAAGGCCATGGGCTGGCCCTCCAATGAGATCGGATCCATGCAGGTGCAAAGTGGGGCGTGAGTACCATACTTTTCTCTCTCTCTCTCTATATGGCATTAGCGTCTGGTGCTGTAACCAGTGTTCCCTGTAAGCTGCACACATGCAGGCCACACACCTCTGATGAAAAAACAAAATGCCACGCTGAAGGAAGAGTCAAAAAAAGCTATTTGAAAGCTTATATTATATGATATTATTTGATATTATTATATTATTTTATATTATATTTAATTGTATTATATTATTATAAAAATAGTTCAAAGAATGGCACAGTTAACACAGATAAAAATCTCAGATAACCTTAAAATGTGCTTCATATTTGCTAAATTAACGGCTTGTTTTCAGAAATCTGATTTAATTTTGACTTGGTTACATCAGGGGTCAAATAAAATAGTACAAATAGCACTTTAAAGTCACCATGAAATCGAACAATTATTATATTTTATGGAATATTGCAGTATTTATTATAAATGATTTATCCAAGCAAAAATCATTATTTTTTAATAAATTCATGTGCCCTCATAATCTTTAATCAAAATAACTTCCCTTCCCTCTTGCATCGACATTTCTTCTCTTCACTGATGACGTGTTTACTGGCGCGAGGGCGGGACAACCTGTCACTCACATGAGATCCACCAATACTAGCAAACCACATGTTATGATAGGGAAAAAAGGCCTATCGCAACTTCCGTGTCATGCAGACTTTAAAGTTACAGCATGATGTAAGCACTTTTGAGTGAATCGTTCATCCTATAGAAAGAGGTTTTGCTCAGCAAGAAAAAAACAATTAGAGGGCACATTGGCAAACCTTGCAATATGTGGGATACTTGGAATTTCAAACTAGAGATCTCAATTTGCATCTGTCATGTGTTTCCTCACTGCATGCAGCTGGGTTTGTTACCAGTACCCCGGCTACCGTGGTTTCCAGTACATCATGGAGTGTGACCACCATGGCGGCGAGTACAAACACTACAGGGAATGGGGCTCCCACGCTCAGACCTTCCAGGTGCAGTCCCTCCGCCGGGTTCAGCAGTGAGGGCAGCTCGCCCAGCACCCTTCCTCCCTCCCCTGCCTCCTCCTCCTCTTCCTCACCTCCACCCCTTCATTCCGATACCAGCAAGCCCAGCACAGGCTGAACGTCTGGTGCATTCGGCAAATGTTTACAACGCTTTCTTCTTTCTGCATGCCATCGATTTGAAAGAAAAGAGTCAGAGGAAGAACTCAAGCAGACTGATTCTGTGAGCGGCACAGTGGTGTGATTTAAGCTTCGCTTCTCATCACTGTCATGATGCAGTCTGTGCAAAAGAGATCAATAAAGGGTACACACATGAAAACCAACCATTGTGAGAGTGTGTTTGATGCATGCAGTGTAGTTTGAAACTAACTTTGTAAAATGGCCCAAATTTTAACCATCATTAGCACCAAAACATCCTATTGTTAAAAAGAGTTGATTTCCAGTGGCTTGTGAGTACAGGGACAAAATAGGGTGCAAAACTGAAAACGAATAAATAAAAGTTTATTGTTGTTTTCATCTTTGGGTGCGATGTTGATTTTCCTGACCTGTCTGTCACCCATTATGATTACATGCTAACTAATTTATTTATGATAAATATTCTCAAATCTATTCACTTTTAAGGAAGGAATTAATTTAAACAGCATGTTGGATTCAAATGATTTGCTTCATCTACTGAATCATCACAATAAGAAAAAAATCTTACATTTTTGACAAAACAACTAGCCTATTTGCGTATCACATGTACACGCAGCAGCAAGTTGCTTAAAATTGGAAAATTATCTAAAATTT